CTAGCAGGCTCGATGGAAAATCTGGAACGCAATTTTGGGCTTAGTTTAGGGGTTTAGGGTTTGGGGTTAAATGGCCGACCCTGCCACCATTATGAAAGAAGCTATGTGAGCCTCTTGAAGGGACATTCTGGGGTGTTACCGAATGCAAATTCCAGCCAGAGCTGTAGTATTTTAGCGTAGAGATTTTTCCGCTTTAGAGTTTGGGTATAGGGTTCAGGGCATTAAGGCTTTAAAGAGGATTTGGTGTTGCCTTCGGTTGGTTTTTCTTGTTTTAGGACACCAAGCTCAATCCCGAAAACAACAGCACCGCGAAGTCCAGAGTTGTTTGTGGTGTGAGGCTCGGCTTGCTGGTTCAACGGTTCTAGGTGTGTCACTGTCCGATCCCCTTAAAGGGTTGATTTGGTTCTAGCTACAGGTCAACTCTACTTCTGTAGCAGATAATGTCTTTGTCAGCCTAGGAGACAGCTGCAGTCTACGATTGTCGCAGGCTTAAGCTTAAACCCTATAATCACCGACGCACCGACAACGACAAGAAGAAGATCCTGGAACGCCGTGCGACGCTGTCGGTCTGCGCAGAGGTAGCGAAGTGTGGCGGTCAATGCGACAACGGGTCAATGACAGTCAATGTTCATGATGCAATGGTTGATATTGTTTTGATACCAGATGTTCTGGGCTGAGGGCTGAGGGTTGCAGTGTTAAGGGATTTTGGGGTTGGGAGAGCCAGTCCCTAGCTAAACCCCTAACCCCGAAACCCTCTATTAAAACGCTAAACCCTAAAACCGTAAACCCTAAACCCCAAACCCCAAACCCTAAACCCCTAAGCACTACACCCTCTATTGAAACGCTAAAAGCCCTATAACCCTAAACCCCTAAACCCTTGCATCTGCAACCGCAACCGGAGAGCTTCAAAGCTCCGCAATGCAAACGCATACTTAAAGGGTCATGGGACTTAGTAACTAGGGTTATAATTAGGGGAACTATACTTATAATTTTTTATAACCCCAATTAGGGTACTTATAACCCTACTTACTAAGTCCCATGATCCTCCAAGTACTTGGAGACAAGCAGGCTTAGGGGCCATAGCAACGTACCACTACTATTTGGGAGTTCCGAAAATTAGGGGTACCTTATTTGGGGTCCTTATAATAAGGATCCTACTATTTAGGGTACTATATTAGGGTCCCATATTTTCGGAAACTCCCATTTGGGGGGATCCTTATTTGTATTCATGGTATAGTATACCACCTGAGCCCTGATCGAGTTATTAATGCCCATATTTTTGCCTGCGGGGCCTTAGTAAGTGGGTTATCAGATGTTTACTACGTCCCCTGATCCTCTATGCAGCCCTTAAGCCCTAGCTTGACGCAGAGGGTTTAATTGAGGTTACTGCAAGGGTTCGGGTTTAGTGTTTAGGGTGGGTTACTACAAGAGTTCTATACAGGTGCTTGACACAAGAGTTGTATACAACAAGGTTGCGAAAGGCTTTGTCCACAGGCGTTGCTTGCTCGTATAGTCACTACGGTATTGATGCAACACAGACCCCAGTAGCCTCGAAAAGGCTCTTGATTGTAATAGTATTACCTAGCAATATAACACTAACAAAATAATACGACACTATAGTGAAAACAATAATCGTGATAATATTGATAATGGTGAAAACGGTACAATAATATGAACACTAACAGCAAGGACAGAAGTAATCGTAAACTCACATTCATAGTAGTAGCAGTAATAGTAACCCTGTGTCTTGACGTTACGATGAAGAGGTTCCCTGGTGGTGTTCCTCCACATACACCTGAAGAAGACCATGATGGTTGGCAAAAAAGAGCCCCAGCCTCAGAGCAGCGTTAAGGCCGAGGGTTTTAGGGCTACCGGTCCAGCATCATTCCATGCCCTCTAGCTCCAATCCACTCCCTACATGACCCTAAGCATTTAGCTATAGCCCGTTTCCAAAAATCAAAACCCGAAAGTGTGAACAACGCATCATCACGTCTGTCAGTGTTGTTCGTAAGGACTTACACTTGGCACTACTCTACATATTCCATATGTGTTATACACACCAGTTTTGATACTAGAAGCTTTATGGGTTATGGAAGCCATAGGAACAACTACAAAAAGTGCGCACTCTCGTAGTGAGCCGGCCTCTACACACACATATGCATACACACATACAGGCCATACACACATACACATACATATACACACAAACATATGCATACACATATTTATCATTACACAAAGACATGCATCTACATATACATATGGCTGGGCTGGCTGGCTGGCTGGCTGGCTGGCTGGCTGGATGGATGGATGGATGGATGGATGGATGGATGGATGGAGAGGGATGTTTGCAGTTGTAGAGAGCTGTACATACAAATAGATGTTTATATACATATATGTATATAAAGTGTTGTACATATCTATACATATATATATATATATATACATCTTCATACAGTTCTACACCTTTGTATAAGTAAGTAAATATGCATGCGTATTGCGATGATCGTGAACTCGTGCCTGTAATGCCCTACTATCTGCCTGGCTGTGTTCCATGGGCCGTTACACAGACCTAAGCCTAAATCCCAAGGCCCCACTTGCAGGTTCATGGGACTTAGTAACTACGGTTACGAACAAGGTTATAATTTCTAATAGCCCCAGTTAAGTTACTTCTAACTGTACTTACTACGTCCCAAGAACCTCGAAGTAGACCCTAAACCCTATAAACCCTCATAGTACCCCGATAGATCCTTTAAGAGAACCCTTAACCCCTTACTTACTGAGTCCCATGAACCTCCAAGTAGACTGTTAAACCCTAAGACCCCTATAGATCCCTTGTAGAACCCTTTAAGGAACTCCCTTAAGGAACCCTTTAATTACAAGTATAGTTACCCAATTTTGACCCCCGTTACTATGTACGCCGTCACCTCCCAAACGCGAAACCCAAACCTCTTGGAAGCTCGAGGCTCCTTAAGTTCCCGGCCTTCGGGTTTTTGGGATTTTGGGGCTACTTTTAAAGGGATCCATACTTAGAGGGTCATGGGACTTAGTAACTAGGGTTATAATTAGGGTAATTATACTTGTAATTACTTATAACCCCAATTGAGGTACTTATAACCCTACTTACTAAGTCCCATGATCCTCCAAGTAAGGGTTCCTTAAAGGGATCTATAAGGGTTCTATAAAGGGTTTAGGGGTTTAGGGTTTGGGGTTTGGTTTCAAGGTTTAGGGATCTAGGTTTTGGGTCGAGGGATTAGGGTTTAGGGTTCAAGGTTTAGGGATCTAGGGTGTAGGGTTGAGGGATTAGGGTTTAAGGTTCAAGGTTTAGGGTTTAGTGTCTAGGGTGTATTGTTCAAGGTTTACGGTTTATGGTTTTGGGGTCCCTGAGGACCCGTCATGTCCAATTCTACACGGAAGTGGCCAATCAGGTGGAGGCAGGGCATGAATCTTTGAGGGTGTCCCAGGGCCTAGCCTTTTTCCTCAGTAGCTGAGTGAGCAGACTTTACACTTTTTGTGATAATGTGATCTCTGAAAGAACTGAAAGTATAGACTTCCGGGGAGCTATCAACTCAGCAACTAGGCTTCCCTGAATTTTGGTGTCTCTTTAAATAAGATTGCAAAGTAGGCAAGGGGTACCCTCGTTTTAAAGGGGTTACTGGAGAAACTTGATGTGTCATAACCTACCTTGGTTTTTAATACCTAGTCTTGTGATTAGGATTTGTTGTATAGCCCGAAACCCCAAACCGCCAATCCCACCATCTCGAAGATGCCGAGTTCATTATGCCAGGGGATATAATAATGACTACCTTAACCCTGAATAACTACCATTTTACGGCTCCTTATTACGGTTTCCTTATATAAGGCCTTAAAAAGGAGGTCCTTCAGGGTTAAGGTATGACTACAATAAGGAACCCGCCAAGGGAGCAATTATTAGCAATTGCTATAAGGCCTTTGTATTGGGCACACCTAGGGATCTCGGCAAGTAGGATTCCATAAGAAGGATTTTCAACTTTGGAGAGGAGTCCATCTTCCTTTCGGTGGCTTCGAAGTTCCAACAGTGCATGAACACTGGTCCGCTCATAAGGGTTTGGATGCGCAGACGTGGTTTTTAACCTTGTTTCAGCTACGTGGCAGGACAGTGGCTACGCGAATCACAGCTCTACGTTATTGTATTTGTAGCTCTAGCTTGCACCAGATACCTTGGGTACGGCCCCCACTCAGTAATAGTTGAGCAATATTCACAGTATAGATATATTAGGACCTATCATAGACTCTTACTGTATGCCCAGTACCTAACAGATACATTTCAACCATGAATCCTAATTCCCAGGCTTTAACAACTATGCCCGGAACCCTACGGTTTAGGGCTTAGGGTTTAGGGTTTACACGCTAGGATGACTCCGATTTCTTTGAAACACTATACATGCCATCATGTCCCTGCTAGTCGCTAACCTGAGCGCGGTGGACCGTACAGAGCTGAGTGTACAGGGTAGGAGTTTGGGGTGCAGGGTTTTGGTTTAGGGTTTAGGGTTTTAGTGTTTCAGGGTTTGGGGTTCAAGCTAGGATTTCGAACCTGCGTGATTTGCACAGTCACAGAGGGTTTGGAATCCCAGAGTAGGAGATGTGAATAGAAGGTGCCTGAATGTAGACGTCCTGCAAGAAGCTCTGTAGTCGGGAATTCAGACCCAGACCCCAGCGAGGGTCCTGACGGTAGATCCCTTCAGGGGGGTTCTATAAGGTACCCTTGTGTGGCAAGGGTTCCCCAAGAGGGCTTCCACTCAAAGGGTCATGGGACTTAGTAACTAGGGTTATAGTTAAGGCAACTATATTTATCATTACTTATAACCCCAATTAAGGTACTTATAACCCTACTTACTAAGTCCCGTGATCCTCCAAGGAGGTTTCAAATTGGACCCTCCGCTGGGTTTTGGCATTCCGGTCTTGGGCACCAGGACCTCGGCAAGCGGCGAACTGCCAACGCCCACGATCCGGATGAAGTGATGGAGGCAAGAAGAGCTACACACATACATATATATGTATATATATATATATATGTAGTTGTTTATTTAGGGCTTTAGGCTTTCACGAGGCAAGAACTTACCTTTGGTTAGTAGGGAATGGAGGAATGGGGTACAATTATTTCTACTATTACTACCATTCTTCCATTCCCTACTAACCAAAGGTAAGAGAAGAGCGCCACGGCATGCCACGGCTTTGGGTTTAGAGTCTAGGGGTTTTGAGGATTGAGGGGTGTAGGGTGTAGGATGTTTCGATGCATTACTGCAAGGTCTCATTTGCGTGACATACTGCTCGCCGCCGCGATGTCTGTGTTTCAACACATATGTGCCATCAGGGTCTTATCGGAATTGCCAACAGAGCCTCGCTGATTGGTATTATTGTACCCAATATGGACTCCAAATTCAATTCCACTCTAAACTCACCGTATCCCATAAACATATACCGCATTTTCAGGCACCTGCCGTTCAGTTCGATTTCTCATTGAGGCTTGGACAATTCCCACGAACTCGTACTCCTGCTTGAAAGTTCGAAGTACTTCTTTTGCCGAGTTATAGCTGTAATCATATCTCAATGATGGTGCCGTAGGATACATAGTTCTCGAGTTTACAACCCCGACTAAGTACAGCTATGGTAGATTGGGAGCGACCCGAACCTCCAAGTAGATATCTCGAGCGCAAGAACTATGGATCACCCGCTTCAACGAAGCACACGGTTGATGATATACATTTTGCATTACCCATAACAAGGAATATACCATAGTTCTTATAGTCTAGGGTCATCAAAGTAATGCACGTTTTATATCATCACCCGCCTTATGGCCCCTCTGAGTGGTCAGGAGCAGCGACAGGAGGAGCTGAAGCAGCGCCTCAACCAGGTATCCCGGCGGTTTCGGCTTGAGGGAGGTCCTCGTCGATACTGGGGTTGAGGGTTTAGGGGTGCGTTCAAAGGGATCCAAAAGGGTTCCTTACGGGTTATAAGGCTCTATAAAGGGTTTAGAGGTTCTTTTAGGGCTTGTGGTTTAGGGGCTTAGGGGTTTCGGGTCGGGGGTTCCGATTTTGGCGGTTCAGTTTAGGGTTTGGCGGTTTAGGTTTTAGGGGTTGAGGGTTTCGGCTTGAGGGTTGAGGGTTTTGGAGCTTGTTGCTTAAGGGTTTGGGGTTTCGTTCAGGGTTTGTTGATTAGTAATCTAGGGTTGGGGTCTGCGGTTTGTCGGGATTAGTGTTTCCGTGGGTGTTAATCTGGAAGTTCGGGATCTGAAGAAGTAATCAAAGGGGAAAAGGAGGGACCCTTAATGGGGAGCCCTTCCCCATACTGGGCTATATAAGGGGTAGGGTCTGTGCCTAGGGGTCCTTATCAAGGGTCCCGCCTGTTACCCTTGGAAGTAAGATTATTGATTATTCCCTTGGCCATCGGAGTGCCTGTCTCAGTTACTATGTCAGACCCCGTGCAGAAGACCATTTATGATTATTCCGGCTCTCCAGCGTAGGTTTTGGGGCTTCGGGGTGCAAAAACTCTGGGTGTTTCAACAGATACGCAGCAGTAGGGTTAAGGCCTGCAAATTCAACTACAGCAATCTTCGCCACTGGTTGAAGATCGGTGTCCTTGACCTCTGGCTTGGGATTATGATTCTGGAACCTGGAATCTTAGGAATTGTGGCTGTGGGCTGCCGTAGGTCCAAATCAATTGCACGAGATTCGAAGTACCCAGAGCCCAAGACCCTTTCGAATGTTCCTGAACTGAAACTGGGTCCTGAACCACATTCCCCGCATCATAGGGATTGTTCTCAGTGGCTCCTCTCTTCATGCGCCTTTCTGTGTTGCAGATTCCTTACTTACTTGAAAGGTGCTAGCTCATACTAATGTAGAAGCCTAAATAAAGGTTTCTTACTGTAGTTATACTCTAAAGGAGCCCAAAACCTCGTTCCAGTTACAAAGGCTTCTACATTATGTACTGTACCCCTACACTCCAAACGCGAAGAGGAAGCCGCCATCAAAAGCTTCATTTCCCTTGCATGATGTTCCATTGCAGACCTTCTGTTTCTCTAAACCCTAAACCCTAAACCCTAAAGACCTAAACCTTAAAGCAGCTTGTGGCTTCAGGCGAGGGGAGTCCTGATCTTAAGTAGAACCCCTAGCCCTGCCCGCGGACCCCAGAATAGAACAACTACCTGCTCAGCTCTTCAAAGACTTCGCCCAGAAGGTGGAGAGGATTCAGGACCACTGGTTTCAGCTTTCCGAAAACCGTGAAACCCCTAAATAAACTCTCGGCCACTGCGGGTTTCGGGCTTGAGGGATGAAACCCCAAAATCCCAACTCCGAAACTCTGGCCCTGGCACCCCAATGCCGTGGTCATCTCCCTCACAAGCCACCCTCATCCTCAGGTTCAGGGTTGAGGGTTTCCGGCTTTTGGTTTAGGGTTCGGGGTTGTACCTGTATCCCCAAACACTACAAAATAGCAGGTTATAGCAGGTTATGACCCCTTGATTGGAGGGTCTAACCCCTAAGATGGTAGGCTTTCGGATCCCAAGGATACCTTGGTTGCAAAGGACCTCCTTCGGAGCTCTGACGGCCGGCGTACATGTTATTTGCGCACTATAGGGGCCAAAATAATTACCTATACTAGTTTACGGCTGCCTCATTATAGTTCTAGTATAATGGGCTCCAAAACCCTATTCTAATTTTTAAGGCCCCTACACTACTTGGGCTTTCAGTTCGTACTGGATCCTCAGGCCTCAGCCCGAAAGGTGTTGATAATGAGCAATACAAGTTCTCAGGGTCTCTTGCTGGAGTTATGTATAGTATACTGCTATATGTATAGTACACTGGTAGAATATACCTAAACCTAAACCATGTTCCTTAATGTTTCGACACCAGCCGAAGCTTTCGTCGAACCTCTTCGGGCTGTGCCCCTGTTTTAAGAACCCTTTAAAGGGAACCCTAGTCTAATATTACTAAAATGGCCCCTATACTACAGTACCCTTTATATAAGATCCCTTATACAGACCCTGTTTTACGAACCCTTTAAAGAGAACCCCTAGTCGAATATTACTAAAAGGGCCCCTATATATCGTTGCGGCGTCTTGGGGAGGACTTCCCCTTGAAGTTCGAGGTTGCGGAAGAGGCGGGCCAAAGCATGCAGCCCCGGATCTAGGGCTGAGGGTTCCGGGGATATTGTTTATAGGGTTTAGGGAATAGTGTTTAGGGTTTAGGGAAGATTGTTTATAGGGTTTAGGGAATTATTGTTTAGGGTTTAGGGAAGATTGTTTATAGGGTTTAGGGAATATTGTTTAGGGTTTAGGGAAGATTTCCCGAAAGCATCGCGAAGGGTTCTTCCGGGCGGAGCCCCGCAGATGAGTACATAGATGACTACATAGATGACAGACATAGAATCAACTTACTTGACTCTATACCTTACTTGACTCTACACTTGATACTTGACTCTAGATGACTACATAGATGACAGACATAGAATCAACTACTTGACTCTATACCTTACTTGACTCTACACTTGATACTTGACTCTAGATGACTATCTCTGTTCAAGCTCATAGCACTTGAAACTGACTTACTTACTTGACTCTGTGCTATCTCTATACTTACTTACTGACTTACTTACTTACTACTTCTACTTACTTTCTTACTACTTACTACTTACTGACTTACTTACTTGACTCTACTTACTTACTGACTCTACTTACTTACTTACTTATGACTGACTCTCTATGCCTCTATGACTTACTCTCTACATCTCGGTATCTAAATCTCTCTTCTAAAGCCGGGGGTGGCACCGTCGGCGTCCATCGGGAATGCAACCCTTCACAGGGATTCGCCTCCTCGCGCGTTGAAACGCGAGGTAAAGTTACACATTTTAGGCGCGCGGGTGAACCCTTCACAGGGATTCGCCTCGTCGGGCGTTCAAACGCGAGGTAAAGTTACACATTTTGCGGTGCCCGCGCAACCCTTCACAGGGATTCGTCTCCTCGGGCGTTCAAACGCGAGGTAAAGTTACACATTTTAGGCGCGCGGGTGAACCCTTCACAGGGATTCGCCTCCTCGGGCGTTCAAACGCGAGGTAAAGTTACACATTTTAGGCGCGCGGGTGAACCCTTCACAGGGATTCGCCTCCTCGGGCGTTCAAACGCGAGGTAAAGTTACACATTTTGCGGGCGCCGTGAACCCTTCACAAGGATTCGCCTCCTCGGGTGTTCAAACGCGAAGTAAAGTTACACATTTTGCGGGCGCCGCGCAACCCTTCACAGGGTTTGGGCGCAGCTCAACTGCATTTTGCAACCCTTCACAGGGATTGGCATGGTCGAATGCACGAACGCGAGGTAAAGTTGCATTTTTTTGTGTGCATTGAGATGAATTTTGCAACCCTTCACAGGGATTGGCATGGTCGAATGCACGAACGCAAGGTAAAGTTGCATTTTTTTATGTGCATTGAAATGAATTTTGCAACCCTTCACAGGGATTGGCGTGGTGGAGTGTTCGAACGCGAGGTAAAGTTGCAATTTTTGATGAGCATTGAGATGAATTTTGCAACCCCTCACGGGGATTGGCGTGGTCGAGTGTTCGAACGCGAGGTAAAGTTGCAATTTTTGGATGAGCATTGAGATGAATTTTGCAACCCTTCACACAGATTGGCGTTGTCGAGTGTTCGAACGCGAGGTGAAGTTACACATTTTGCGGTGCCCGCGGAACCCTTCACAGGGATTGGCTTGGTCGAGCGTTGAAACGCTAGGTAAAGTTGCACATTTTAGGTGCCCCGCGCAATCCATGAGAGGGATTTGCCTCTTCGAGTGTTCTAATCGGTAGGTGTGCAGCAGGTCAATTGGCAACCCTTCAGAGGGATTGGCAAATGCATATATCGATAATATACATATATATATATATATATTTCTATCTATATCTATCTATATATATATAGATATAGATATATAGATATATAGATATATAGATATATAGATATATAGATATATAGATATATAGATATATAGATATATATCTATATATATATATATATATCTATATATATAGATAGATAGATAGATAGATCATGGACTCTATGACTCTTGACTCTGTGACTTTACGATCCTATACACTGGATCTATCACATAGCCCCACAATCTTCGCTGATGATGCTTTCGGGCCAATTGTCTTCTAGTGTTTATAGGGTTTAGGGAATATTGTTTAGGGTTTAGGGAAGATTGTTTATAGGGTTTAAAGAATTTTATAGGGTTTAGGGAATATTGTTTACGGTTTAGGGAAGATTGTTTATAGGGTTTAGGGAATTTTGAAGCACTGGGTCACTGGGACCGAGATTGGAGTTGTGGGTGTTTGGCCTGAGGTTTATTCGAGCTGGGTACACATTTGACCTTTGGGGGTTTCCGAAAATAGGGGACCCTAATATAGTACCCTTAGCAGTAGGATCCTTATAGAAGGACCCCAGATTAAGGTACCCCTAATTCTCGGAAACTCCCATATGCTTCCGTGGGCAATTACATCTTCACCGCCAGAGCCCGAGCTGCCTGACAGCCCAAACCCTAGAACAAGGAGTGCCGGGAGCAAGGCGCGATTGGAAGATACCGTTCAAGGACAATTTCTTGTATCGGTTCCCCTAAATAGTAGGATCCTTCATTAGGAGGATCCCAAAATAAAAACACCCCTAAATTCCGGAAGCTCCCATGTGGACTACCGAGCAACGCGCAAACCCAAGCCCTGATCCGGTCCAAACCACTGAAACGCAAGATTCAAAGCCCTCCCAACACCACAACCCTAAATCCCGGACCCTGAACGCAAACGTTGGCCAAAATTTGTATTTAAGCTCTACCAGAGTGGCTTCCTTCTATCTTGACAGGGCCCCTTCCAGTTTCAAGGAGTGCGGCCCCCGGTCGAGTTGAGGGTTTCGGAAAATAGGGGGCCCTAATATAGTACCCTAAACAGTAGGATCCTTATTAGAAGGACCCCAAAATAAGGTACCCGTATTTTTTGTTGGAAACTCCTAGTTGGAAGCTTCAACACAGCATCCATCATGCTTCGGTTTCAAGGGTTCGAGCAGCTGAAGGTTGAAATTGGTTGGTTTTCGCTGGTAAGCTGGCATCAGAGCTTTGAGTGTGCTTGCCAATGTTGTGACTAACTGGTCAATCATATGTTTTCATGTAATTATCTACGATTGGGGGTTCAGGCTGGCTTAGGGTTAGGAGATTACTACATATGCCCAGCAATACAACTCCAGACTCATCTAACGAAGACCATTCGTTTCAGTCAGGTTCAGCTGCCCGAGTGGGGCAAGTGAGGTTTCCGGAAGAAGTTTCAACTGCTGAAAGCACCCTCCGCCAAAGCGCTGCGGTGGTTGTTCCTGTTGGGCGGGAGGGTGAGGTTCGCCCGGGTTTAGTGGTGGTGACCTGTACAGCCTGTAGTTGAGGCGGCTGGAGGCCTTGCATCAGGCCCTTCCCGGCAGTCCAACACCGATCATTGAACCCTGATACCACTCCTTATCGAAGGCTTTTGAGGAACCCGAAAAAATCATGAAGTAACTCGTTACCCAGGCTTCTACAGGAAGCTTTCGGCTAGTCGAAGTCAGAGCCCTCAGTGCCAAAAAAATGTCAAGTAGGTTTTGGGGCTTCAGCATTTCAGGCTCAAGGCATGTCGGTGTTGCGGGTTTGTGGGGTTTACAGTTTGCAGCCCTCTTCTGGAGGTTGCCGCCGACGAAACGATTTAAGTTAGCCCTAAACCTTCGCACGCAGCAAAAAGCTCCTACCAAGAAAACCTTACATACTTAAACCCTAAGCCCCTTGTAAGCCCTTCGAAGGTTCCGTCGAAGACCAACATGCGCCTCTTCTGCTGCCGGCAGTCCATCGTGGGCATCGAGGCGACACAAGGGCAGATAAATGGGATCCGGATTTAGGAGTTTGGGGTGTATGTTAGACGGGCCCCCCACCCTGTAATAGTGGTATAATAGGAATACCCTTTTGTATTCCTTATAGTCACTATTACAGGGTGGGGGCAGCTTCTAAGGCGTGTGGTTTAGGGCTGGGTACTTGGGGTTTAGGGTTCAAGGTTCGGGATGTAGGTTGGGGTGTGTGGGGTTCACCTGAACACTGTGAAACCTGCCTTTTGAGTTCCTCGATATGATTCCTTACGAAGTAAAAGGGTTGGTCTTTGGGGTTAAGGTCGGGTTTGAGCAGTTCAGATCCCAGTCATGTGAGTGCACGCTCCTTCAGCTTTTTGCAGACACGAAACCCTCTTTGACTTAGGAATCTACAACTACACACGTTCATGAATGGGATTCGGAGATTTTGGAGTGGGGGTCTTGAGATGTGTAGTTAATCAATGTGGCTCCGGGATGAATACCACCCCCGATAAGGAGTACATGTGACGGGGATCGATTCCGATGTCCGGTGAAGAACGGGGTTCACGAAGCAGAGATCTTGCCCTGAATTGCTCGGCTCATGTTTTGTAAAACAAGGTCGGATAAGCAAAGTATAAGATGTCCGTCTCTCATAATTTGCACAAGCTCCACAAGTACCAGTGATTTCACATCTTCTCATATCTAAACCTCAAGCCGGCGGTCACATGGGCGGTGCCGCCTCGTCGAGATTAACAGTAAGGACAGGCCCTACCTCCTAAGCCCGAAACCTGAAACCCGAAAGCCTAAATAAACCCTAAAGGGTTTTGTAAGGGTTTTGCACTGCTTCCGTGCTATGGTACCCTTTCCCCTCCTGTTTCTAGTAAACTAGTAGGTTCAGGGTTTGGGGTTTCATGTCGGGCCCTTTCAGGACCATTCCGTGAGCATTCAGGCGAGCCCGGAAGCATCAAAAGCTTCCTGACTTCAACTGTAGACTATCCTTCAAGCCTCAAAACCCCAGCTTTAATTAAACCCTAAACCCCAAACTCACAAATTCCTAAGCTTCAAAACCCAAACGGCCCTGAATCCAAGGCTCTCCAACAGGCTGTTAATTCGAAACCTACGGCTCCGACTTGACGCCCAACTCCCGAACCATAAACCCCGTACAGCCCTACAACTTAAATGGGGTTTCATAACTTTAGGCTGTGGCATCAAGGAGTTTAGAGTTCAACTAGTGGTAGTAAGGATCCCACAATTTGGATAAGGCCTAGTGTAGGAGCCTGCTTAAGAAACTGATCCTTTATTTGGGTTCCTTGTATGAATCCTACTATTTGGGGGTTATAGGCCCAGGGTTTCTTAATCAGGTTCCTACATTAGCCCCTGATTCTTACAGCCCCAGACCTGCAAGGAGTGGCCACCGCTGGTCGTAGATATTCGCGACGTGGAGATCGTCTGCTTTGTTGCTTGGATGCACGTGGGGATTGTTCAATTACTGGCTCCAAGAATGTACTTATTTCAATATTAATAAAATCAGCTGCTTCTTATGATAAGGTTGCCGTTGTCTATCTGCGGTTCGGAGAACCATAAAGTTGGGAGTTCACCTGAATTAGATTACATAGTTAGGACCCTCTTGAATGCCACCTCAGTCTGTGCCCCTAGCCTTCCAACTGCACGGATTGGGCTATGTCCTGTGTTTGCGGGATTCTTTGCGCATTTGATTGTCTCGGGGCCTTGTGTGTTTCGGGTGTTAGTATTACTGCCCGTAGGGCTTCCATACGAACCTGTTCAGACGTGCTGATGGCCAAGAGTGACTTCTTCCACAATGTGTGCAGTATAGTATATAGACGCCCCGATAGCTGGCAGTATGGATCCTCATGGCTCCTGAATGCAACTATTACCTACGATTGCTACGCCTCAAAAATCTTACTCTAATAATCAAGCCCCCAATATTAGGGTGAAAGGGCTTGGGGCTTTGGCTTTGTAGGGTTTCAAGGAACGTTAAGGAGGAATACGTGTCATTATTTAGTCAGGCCCCTACATTGTGCTTTCGTAGTCTGCGTTGAGTCAACTATGGCTCAGAGTGTTCCAAGATGTCCCAAAGTCTTTGAAGATTCCGGGTCAAAGCGCCGAGGCTGATTGGGGGGTTACGGGTTCAGGCTTCAGGGGTTTAAGGTTTTGGGGATACAAGAGCCTGAATAAGTAGTTGTAGGTATCCTAGTTGTACTGTTCCTTGAATTCCGAATGCACGTACATTGTGCTACACCCAAAGCCCAATTCTGATTATCAAGGCCCCTATATGACAATGTTTTTTTATCTGATCTTGGGTTTGGCGTTCGGACCTTGCGGGTCGTTTTGGGCGCAGAAGCAGGGGCAAGTCTTCAACCGTGATCACCAAAGCCGCATCCCAGACCCTTGGGAGGATCATAAAAGTAGATCCCTGTAGGGGGTTCCTATAAAGTAAAATGTGCTGGTAGCATAGGAGTCCAGATTTTGGCGTTTTGTTCTTTGGATCTTTCGGAGGGTCTGGGATTAAGACCCTATGTCAGCACAAGCCCCCATCACAGCCGTGTCGGGAGGGACCCCTGACGGAAACCTCACTTACCCGCCCAATTTTAGGCTTCACGTAAACGCTCACAGGACTGAGTAACTCAGTACACAATTGATAAGGTAACCATCCTTATAACTACACATTCCCCAATTAAGGTGCTTATAACTGTACTTCCTAAGTCCCTGAACCTCCAAGTAGGGGAGCTCATTTCTGCCCAGACTTGTGTTCAGACCTTAGAAACCCTAAAGAACCTCCATAAAGCCCTTTGCCCTAAACCCGAAGCCCGCGTGGCCTCAGGAAAGAGCGTTGGGACATACCCGCGAGGATCGGCATGTTCAACTTTCGTGGAGGGGATTAACTTAAAGTCGGGCTTCCGGATTTTGAGGCGTTCGGGTTTGGGCAGTTTGGGGTTTTGGGCTTCAGGGTTTCAGATCGTTAGGGTTTGGGGTTCAGTTTAGGGTTTATAGGGCGTGAGCTCGCGAACCTTGCCGCGACTGCATGGCTGTTGCCCAGCCGCTTTGTCAGCAGAGTCGGTAAGGTGCCCTCAAAAGTCCGTGAAGCTGAACCTTAGTCAAATAAACTGCACAGCTCGAATCTTAAACAGCGACCGAGCTTCATGCATGAGAGAAACGTCGACAAAGCTCCGGTTATTTTAAGACCCTAAACAGTTTTGGTTTCGCTCCCCTTTCGCCGCCCTGCCTTTAGCCCTCCGCACCCATTAAACCTTGTTTCGAGCGAGACTACTTAGAGGACATGCACCATTGCTATAGGGGCCTTAATAATTACCTATACGGGGGTGGGGGGAGGTCCTTGTTAGTATGATTATAGTAGAATATGATGGGCTCCTATATTAGAGCAGTTTAAAGGGTTTCCTGCCATGGCATGGACAGGGAGGCTTTAAGGGGTTCTGGGCTACCGATCCTGCTGGAACAGTTCGACCTGGTGCTGGTCATGAAGAACTACAACGAGTCGATCATTCGGGCAGCTCGGCACAACCCAGGCCAGTGTTTGCGCAAAACATGGCTATTGAAACGTCCGCACTGTCCAATCCTCTGATCCTAGGAACCACGAACAAGCATGTATGACATGGCTCTGTTATATAGTAGAGTAAAAGAGAGTATACACGTTTATAACATACTACCATCCGTTATAATGCTTATGCTATAGTATAATGCAACATAGTATAATGTATGTATACTTACTAAAGTATGCTATAATACAATCTAACCTAACCTAACACAGAAAAATAGAAGCTGGCATGATATAATATACGATAATAAAAGATTATAACAAAAAATATAGTATGATATAGTATAGTATAGTATACTTTACTATAGTTAATACAGTATAGCAAAGTATAGTATGATGTAATGTAATGTAACATAGTAGACCATATACATACATATATATATATACATATGGAAGTCTGGATTTCTAGATATAAGTAGCAACTTCAATACTGCCGAACCTGTTCCCAGGTGAACCGACGCATGACTTTAGGAAACTTTATTCCGCAATCCCCTATCATAAATGGGTTTTCAAGACAGCAACGCTCTTTAAACTGTACAAAGTTTGTAGACGATACGATGGTTGAGTTTCTGATCCGCTCACGTCTAGCCGGAAACACTGCAAAACATGGTAGGCGTACTTTCATACTTGCACATTACACCCCATCGTCTAGATTACCTTCCTGCATTTACAGACAGCTACCGGCAAGCAAGTCGTTTGACGATATCCTGCCAAGATATCCTACTTCAGAAATAGAGTGTTGGATGCACAGGGCCGCGTGGATGTGCAGTTTCAACATGTTTGAGCCCTCAGTGGTTTAAAAGATTTAGGAGCCACCCAAGCCTGCCAAGATCACGATGATCGATGGGAGACATCTGCCTCCAATCAAAGCGTGGCTTGCTGACCTCGACATGCAGCCCGGCAGACATCTAGGTCTTGGAATTTTGCATACTCTATGGGTCTGACTTGTTTTGCATTGCTCTCATTTTGTAGGTTTTTGTCGGGCTGAAATCTTCGATGGATCAGCATCTTCTCGGTTGTGCCTTTCTCTGGATGTCTGACCGAAGCGGCTATCTGAATTTGGTAGAAGGTGCCTATAAGCGAACTCTCGAGAAAACCCCCCACGGCCCATACGCCTTTAACTGGTGATAGACCTGATACTTGGAGGGTCGGGGGACTTAGTAAGTGGTAATTTTAGGGACTTATAAGTACCATAACCCCAATTAGGGTCCCTTTTAGGGTACTTATCAGTCTATCACTGGCCACGAACCGACAAGTAGACAGACTCCAATTCTTTCAATTGTCAGCGCCTGAGAAGGAGACGTTAAGAGCCGAATGAATTGAATAACGGAGTAGAACATAAGATGTTACAAACTACTCTAACATAGCATCGTATATCATAACACTCTAAACTACTATAATATACCATCGGATATATTACAACATAACATACATAATTGTTAGACATCTCATGAGATACTGCTCTCTGGCTCAGGGTTTGGTACACCATTGGGATGAACATGAACTGGACGGCCGGCAGCCTCGGTTTCTGCGCATTGTACGTTTAATCATAATGGGTAGGGCTTATAGGGTTTCGCGCGTAGGGTTTTGGGTTTTGGGTGTACTTTCAAGCATGAAGGGTCTAACAATGCCGATTTTGTAAGGAATAAAGAGTCCGCCAACCCCTTCCCCCTACCCCCTAAGCTTCTTTGTGATTCGAGTGTTTTGGCTTGGCATATTCAACACAAGGTTCACGGTTTGGGGGACAGAAAGGCGGTAGGACCGTAGGACTGAGGATATGCTTCAGGGTTATGGGCTTAGGAATCTTGGATAAGAGTTTAGGCAGTTTACGGTTTCTCACAATTTAGTAACGCATGGGGGGGCTTCGGTTTAGGGTTTAGGGTTTCGGTTTGGGATTTCGGGAGTTTTGTACTTCAATGGTTTTGCTTGGGGCTGAAGGCTGGTCATGACTGGAGGATCTTGTTCAAGCTATGCCAATGTAGACCCAAAAGAGTGAAAGATCACCTGGCATTGCAGACCCCAGAAGAGCACTCCAGGAGCACCGCTGCGGGTTCCGACAAAGCCCATGAGCCCAAAATGCACAGCACACTTGGGCTACAGCTTGGAGCTGTAGAGTCAGCCTACAACAGGAGACTGAGCAGTATCGAAAGTCGCGTCACAGCCAAGCGTTCGGGCTTCAGAAATGTCAACAACTGCCACGCTGAATCCAAAAACATTAGAGAAAGCATTGCCCCGTACGTCGAGACCTCAGAAAGACAATGCATCTGTCAGCTATCTCAAACATGCAGGTTTCATAACCATGTAACTTCTTTACAGTTTTTCAACCCTGAATACTGAACCCCACACCGCCATGACCCCTAAACCACAAACCGTAAGGTTTCGAGCCTTCCAAAACCCCAAGGCCCCTAATGCTCACTAGTTTTTAAGGACCATAAGGGTTGTATGAAAGGGCAGTTGGGGGTGGTCCTGGTAGAACACCAACCGTAACCCTAAACGTGAACCGTAAAACTCTCACTCCGCACCTTTGTGCAGAACGTCTTGAAGCACATTACCGAAGCCTGGGCCTCAAAAGCCTTAGTGGGTTTAGAGTCTAGGGTTTAGGGTGTTGGGGTGTTTGGCGGCTTTTCTAGTAGCTGAACGAATACGCTTTACACACTTTTGGGTGAATTGTTGAAAGAGCTGCAAGTTTCTTTTTTCGGTGCTTATGAAGATCTCAGCAATTAAGTTTGGGGTTCCGGGATTCGGCGTTTAGGGTGCAGGCCCCATCGTCCAGTCGAATACCGAATTCCCTATCAACCTCAATACAGCCAAAAAGCTGACATAGTTGCAGGGTTGTCCCCTTGAACGAGAATTGAATCCTACAGCCATCTTGATACTACCAGTCCTCACCACACCCCGAATGCTGTCGGGTTTGGTGCTGCGGGTTTTCGGGCTTGGAATTTAGGGTTCGGGGTTTAGACTTTGGGGTGTAGGCCGTGCCCTAAACCCTAAACCCTAAACCCCTAAACTCCTAAACCCTATACCGTTGCCAGTCCTTTCCTTTCTTGCTCCGAAATCCTAAGCTCCGTAGTCGTGTTCTATTTGTAGCTTCTAGAGCCGGAGCTCCAGACGTTCAGCCGTGGAATCCCATATCCTGTGAGCCTGTCTAGAACCCTCTACTTAAAGGATCATGGGACTTAGTAACCAGGGTTATAATTAAGGTAACTATACTTATAATTACATATATCCCCAATTAAGGTACTTATAACCCTACTTACTAAGTCCCATGACCCTCCAAGTAGAGCTCTCTAATCGCATTCTAAAAGTACACCTTGCGAGTTGGACGCTCCGGGCTGTGGCACAGTGCCGTCATGGCGACTGGTTTGGGCCCCGACGGTGGTTCCGCCGCAGCCGCACCGAGCCCAAGCTCGCATCCTGTTTCGCCGAGCTCAGCACCTGCCTCGCGCGAGCCCCGCACATCTGTTGCTGCACAAGTGATGACGAGCCGTCACATGCCAGTGTTTCTCGATTTTTTCGACGACGCGGCCTCTGCGTCCGATGAAGAGTTCAGCTCCCCGGGCACCCCATTCTCGCAAACTGCCTTGCCTCGTCGCCTGGTTAGGGCCTTAGCCCCTTTGCCAGAGCCGACTTTACTGCCATCATAAACCCTAATTAAACCCTGTCTTCGGATTGTAGCGGGTGCCTCAGTTCAGCCTGAAGTTGGCGCAAGACGCAGATGTAAGCTTGGATTTTCTCTTTGGTCCCAAGCTCCAACTCCGTGCTTTGACCTGTGTGGACTCTATTTGGGTGTTTAGGGATAAGGTTCCAATATTAATGTAGGAGCCTGAATATGTTCTGGAGTGCCATTCCCTACGGGTTCCTCACTCCATCCATACTAAAGCATACCCCCAAAAACCCTGTTCCAATATCTACGGCCGTTGCAAAAGTGCTTTTGAACTGTAGGGTCAGTCTTGTGGCTGCCTTCTCCCGAGTCTCCCGCCTGTACTGTGAAGGTGGTTTTGCACGCGGAGATTGCCTGAATTAGGGCCCCTTATCGGCTCCTTAACTGAGTGCGTCACTTTCACAATTAGGATCTTCATCACTTAGGTACAGGCCTAGGGCGAAAACACTCATTTTTCGAGATGCCCACATGGCTCACCTTGGTTGTCTGCAGAGTTCCATGCAGCTCGCAGATCTTTTCTGTCTACCCAGCTGAACTCTTGACTCCCGGTTTTTGACTCTAAACCTTATGTCGCAAGGCGTTCTGGTGCTATGTGGTAGCGTCTGGACTTCAGTGTGACTGGGTTCTGACATCTTTTTGTGTTTGTTGTGAGGATTCGGAGGCTGGGGAATCCTACAGTAATCCTGCAAGTATAGCAATAGTAACCATACTTACTAACAACAACCGTAATCATAGGAGTAGTACTTCCAAAAAATGGTGAATATCAGAAGTAGTAGGAGTGATAACAGCAGTACTGATAATTGGGAGCCCAGCTTCTTAGCAGGACATAGAAGAGTTCCTCGAGAATGGTGGCTGGCAAGCATGGTCGATGCTGGCACCGTTGAGCTGAGGGTTCCTCTAAACCATGAAGTCTACAAACCCTGTATAAGCCCTTTCAACGGGTTAGGGTCTAGGGGTGTAGAGGTCAGGGGTTTAAGGGGTTTCGTGTTCAGGGCTTGGGGTTTAGTGTTGTGTTCTGTTTTGTGCGCTTTGGGATGAGGCTTTGGGGTTGTGGGTTGAGGGCTCGCGTTTTTGATTACAGTAGAAGCCAGAAAGTTGGAATATCATTATCGTAACCCCTTTAAGGTAATTTATAGGGGATCCTACCATATATCCATATTCCGACTTTCTGGAGTTCCCTTTACGGTCTCTGGGTTTGGCGGATGGGGTTTGCAGCTCAGGGTTCACGGCTTTATGGGGTTTGGGGTTTAGGGTTTAGGTTCTTTGTGAAATGGCATACCAAAGTCTGGTAAAGACAGGTGCTTCCGTTTGCAGGTAGTGGGGGAATGGGTGTGGTGCTGTTTCAGTTTTCGGATTTGCGCTTGCTTGCTGGTCTTTGTAACAGATCCAGTGAGTTTGCGTCAGGGTTTCCAGGTAATGTAGGGGCCTAAACATTTGCCCTAGTGTGGGGGTTCCTTGATATGGTTATAGTACAATGTTCCCCCAAAACCCTATTCCAATCTATTCATGGATTTTAAGCTTAAGGTTGGGACTGAAAGCTTAAGGACTAGCAGCTGGGGCTTACAGGCACTGCAGGCTCCACTCCTACCCCGAAGCTGGCCAGCCGCTCTGCCCTTAAAAGAGGCTTCAACGTCTTCAGCGAGAGGGGTTTATGTCAAGACGGGGGGAGGTGTCCAGTAGCTCTCGGTGTTTGTAACTTTTGGCGTCAATTCTAAAACTCTAAACTCGATGGCCTATAAACTCTAAATCCTAAACCCAAACCATAGGAGCCTGCCAAGCCAGGTTCACGAATCCGAATGAAGATTCTTCGGACGACGCCGGGAAGGAGCTGGGCCCATAGGCTTGATTGCATTATGGTTCGTAGAGGGCTTCCATACTTAGCGGTTTCTATTGGATCCTTAACGTGGTTAACTGGGAGCATGTTGGTGATCTAGTACGCTTACATGGAGTTGCATACGTGCTGGATTTGTGATCTCTGAGTTGGGTGCATGGCCTGAGGATGCCTTTCATCTGCGGCTAACCGCTAAAATCCTGCACTCCAAAGCCTTGGAAAGTGCCTGAACCGCAAAAGCGCTGCTGGTTCCGAGACTTGATTCTCACCTCTCTCAAAGCCTCAGTTCCAACCCAGACCAAAACCGCGAAACCGGCAGGCACCTATTTCCTCGATCTGTGGCTTCCCGTCCTAATACCATAAGGTGTATCCGCTCCGAACCCTAAACCCTAAGCCTACACCCAAAACCCCAAACCAAAGTCCTCGGGAGCCGCAGAGACAGCAAAGCATCGCTCCGTTTTGACCCCCGGATCCCTGCTCCCTAGCTCCCTAGCTCCCTAAACCCTAAACCCTAGCTCCCTAAACGGAAGGACGATGGTGACGATGACTACGAGCCGCAGGACGAAGGGCTGCTGTTAAAGGGTTCTTCAAAGGGTTCTATACTGGCTACCACAAGCTCTACAACTATTCTATGATAGAGGGTTACCAGTTAGAATGCTTTTCGTTCTGGTTACTTGACAGACTAAAAATACTGGACGATACGCAACAGACCTATTCTAACTATTCAGGCCCCCTGACCCCTGTACAACAGTTTCTCTACAGATACCCTACTTCCTAGATTCTGTAGCCCTTTCATCATACACGCGACTTCTGTAATCCTAGAACCGCGAACCCTATGGCGTATGTAAAGCCGTCACTCCTTGCAACTGCGAAATTCCCAAACCCTGAACGACATGTCTTTCCCTTGGTGATGCGAGATTGCTGGGTTCTGAAATCCTCAGCCCTAATCCCGCTATCGCAAGCCCCAAAAGCAATCGCCTAGGATTTGGGGCTTTGGGCTTGCGGAGGGGATTTGGGCACAGGCTTTGAGAAAGAGGCAAGGCTTGCTAGGGCAAAGGTTGCAGGCTTGTCGTCTTCAGGCTGTTTCTAGGTTTTGAATGGTTGTAAGCGGGGTCTAGGGTTTAGGGTTGGGAGTTTGGGCTTTTGATGGTTCAGGGTTCGGCGTGTGGGCAGGACTCCGATGATGATTTCGACGCAGATGCAGGCGACATCGAAGAGGACACATGCCCTAGAAAGACGGCGTGCTGGGAGGGAAGCTGAATGCGAAGCTGAACATTGTAGTGAGCTGTGTGCTATCCCTCTCTCTGTAGCTTCCTTATCTTCCTGCTTTCAGCTCTATATCCGCATGGTTTACCACTCTGCGAAGATCTAAGCGCTTGTCAACAAAACCCGCGAATAGCTCCGTTCATGGCCTTCGTACCGAGTCCCCGAGCGAATCGGGCAGGAAAGCCAGCTGAAGCATTTCTTAACGATTCGTATAGTGGCCTGAGTATTTACTAATATACTATTTCCATGGGGGCCCTAGCCTCCGCAGTAGAAATCTACTACAAAACCAGACCAAACCCTTAGGACTTTTTTGTGTTTATCAAGGAAGCCAAAATATGTCTGCTGAACCGGGTTTAGGGCAGGCTTCAGCAGTAACCCCACAATCCTGCACACTCACCCTAGACCCAATACTCCAAGCCGCTCTTCTCTCAATCCTATGCCGAAGACCACCCACTGCGCTAGAGCATATTTTAGCCTGGAGACTTTTGGGAGTTTCCGAAAATAGGGGCCCCTAATAGAGTAACCGAAATAGTAGGATCCTTATTATAAGGACCCCCAAATAAGGTACCCCTAATTTTCGGAAACTCCTTTTTCTAGGTGCAGAGATCTGAAACATGAAGATCCAAAGGCCGGAGCCCCACAGTAGAAGCCAGAAAGTTGGAACATGGGTTTAGGCGATTAGGGCTACAATCTCTTATACTTTACTCTAGGGGCATGAGGATACTAGTGTTCCAACTTTCTGGCTTCTACCAAAACCCGATAAACTCTGCAAGCACTAGAAACCCAACAAGCCCTACAAGCCCTAAACGCTGATAACCCCCAAGCCAGCACAAACCGACACCAGACACCAACGATTTGGGGATTTGGGTTTAGGGTTGGGGGCTTAGGATTTAGGAGTTAGGGTGCACTCTCTAGCGATCACTCGAGGGGCCTATATAACTACCAATACTATTTTGGGGGTTCCTTATAATTATATCATAATGAGCCCCAAAACCCTATTCTAACTGTTAAGGCCCATATCTTAGCTTTTGAGGTTTAGGGTTGCCAATCCACCAAATAAACTCCAAGGCACTTTTTCTTAGCCCTCGGTCAAGGGGTCTCCTTTGAAGCTTCCTTGGGTTGTATAGGCTGTCAAATTATGGGATCTACTTTTTGGATCCTTCCCGGGGCATGAGGGCAAAGACTGAAGAGAAGTTAAATTACCACAATCCTCTGCCCGACACCCTAACCAACCCCCCAAGCCCCTCTAAACTGTTCAGCCGTACACCGTGCAGACCCTGCTTTTTTCATGGGGTAACCCTTTAATCAGGTGCTGGGCAGTCCCCGATGAGCTCCCAGTATAAGTAGCCATTCCTTAAGAATACGGTTCCAAACAGCAAGTTAATTCAACACTGTGCCTCCAATTATGCGACGGATCCCCGAAACCATGAAGCCCTAATCCTCGCCCCAAGCCCCAAAGGATCCAAGTAACCGTATAGTGTATACTTTAGGGTAGTAAGTCGGGAGCTATGTCCCTTGATTAAGAAGTCTTGAAGCATCTGGAGGACTCCTCTGCAGAAGATGACGTGGAAGCCCTTGGGCTCTGTTTAGGGATCATGGATTTAGGGATATTTTCTAGGGGTGTATGGGTTTAGGGTTTAGGGCCGTTTAGGGTATAAGGGATTATAGGATTTAGGGGTTTAGGGTTTAGGGTATTGGGATTAAAAGCTTTGGGATTAGGGTTTCGTAGCGGTTTAGGGATATGGGTTTAGGGGTTTAGGGATTGGGGTTAGGGTTCGCCAGTGCAGTTGGCACCCTGGCCACTTGCAACGTGCAGGGCCAGGGCCTTGGGCGGGATGGGGCTGCTTTCATGAGACTTAGTAACTTAAAGGGTTCCTTAGGGAGTTCCTTAGATAAGGGATCTAGAGGGGTTTAGGGTTTAGGGTCCACTCGGAGGATCATGGGACTTAGTAAGTAAGATCATAAGTACCTGAGTTGGGACAACAAGTAATTATATATACGTATAGCTACCGTAATTGTAACCCTAGTTACTAAGTCCCGTGACCCTTTTAAGTGGGGCAGGGCAGCGGGGTGCGGGGCCGGGGCGCGGGTGCAGGTTGAACTTTGGGACGGCACGGGGCCTGCACCGAAAGTTCAACAGCACGTGGTTTTGGCGGGGTGCCGGGAACCCGCGCAGTTCAACAGCGCGTCTTTTCAGCCTCTCAAACGCGACCCTCCATGATGGGGTCTGAGGGGCTTTAGGGGGATCAGGAAGTTTGGGGAGTGTTGGGTTTGGCGGTTAATTACCAGGGTTTAGCGGGTTCAGGGTTTGGGTTGCGGGGATTAGGGTTTAGGGGTTAGGAATAAGGAATGTAGGTATTGGGTTTAGGACCCTGGAGAAATCCCCAAAAACCAGGGTCTCATTTCTTGTTCTCAACGATCTCTTGTTGAATGCGGTGACTGCAGTGTTATACTACAGCCATGTCTATACAGCGCTGCTACTGCTAGAAGTTTCTCAGCTTTGTATAGCCTGAAGCAGTCTGAGTTGTTCCTGCTGGAGGCTTCACGGCTTGTGATCATAATTGTCTTTAAAACAGTGTTGAGATTATTGAGCCGAGAATCCTTTGTTGCAACACGTTGCAATCATTCCAGTAAAGTTAACAGAGCTTCATTCAGGGTTGTTCGATACACTCATGATAAGTCTAGGATTTATAGACTAGAGAGGGATTCACAGTTTCGGGCGATTGAACACTGCCGAGGAGGATGAGGACGAAGATGACATGGACGAAGATGCTGGTGACGAAGATGAGGACAGAAGGGCACAGAGCAAGTCTACATACCATGTATTACCAGGTCGGCCCCGGCTGCTGGCTGCAGACTAACACCGCCGTGACTCGTTTCGGTTGACACAACAGACAGACACAGGAAGACCCTTAGATAAAAACAACCTTCGGCTAATACCCTTCCATAACTTCATTCCGGAGGCTGTGCACGGTGAAGCCCTGAAACTTCGGGTTCAAGCTTCCAGGGTACTCTTCACGACGGCATCGACTGCACTGTGGAATCTGTGTCATCGTTTATATTAGTCCCTGCATGTTGAATGCCAAATGAATATGTACTGTTTCTGCTTGTGGGTTCGATTGACCAGAGCATTGTTCATGTAGATCTACCAGGAAGCCCCAAACTCGTGCATGATGGCTGCTCACGAAAATCGGGGTTGGCACTGACTAGAGCCATCAAGCAGATGGATTCAGATGGATTCCAATGCATGAGATTGCATGGGGCCAGCTTAACCGTAGAAATGTAACAGGCGCCTACAGTGTGGGGCGCCGGGTCGTGATGCAAAGTTTAGAGGTGTACGCAGGCTGATTTCTTAACATCAACCGAAAGGATGTGGCCAACAGCAGCATGTCCAATGTCTGCATATGTTTTGGCATAAGAGCCGTGTCAACATCGCAATTACTTCGCACGTGATCGATCCCATCGAGGTCGTTTTCACACTGTAAGTTAGCTGGTCGCATCCAACTCGTATTCATAATGAGTTGACGTCGTATGCCGGAATAGCGAACTTAATTGCCGTGCAAAGCAGCCGCATGTGTGAGTTTCAACACAGTGGGCCCAGTATATGAGTAGGTTTGTATATATATATATATATACACACATGTGCATAAGATAGTTTGCTGCATAGTTACACCTAAATAGGCGAAACCCCTTCGCCCAAGTTCAATACCTGTCTGCAGCCCCACATCCACACTGGAGCTTTGGATAAGAGCCTTAGGTCTACCATGTCGGTCTAGGGTTGAGGGCTTCAGGTTTTCGAGGTTAAAGCCTTGGTCCTTTAACAGTGCGTAGTAAAGGGATCTAAAGAATTGCCAATACTATTTTGGGGGTTCCTGATTAAGATTATAGTACCAGATACCCCAGAACCCAGTTTTACTTATTAAGGCCCCTATGCGGCACCGGTGGCCGCGGCACCTTGCAATCTCCAAATTTTGGCAGGATTACGACGGTGCTGACGACGATGAGGATGGATGTTTGCAGGGTTAAGGGCTTGGCTTCTGACCGGCCACCTACAGACTTTTCGTGCATCAGGAGGCACCGGTAGGAACCAAGCATATGGGTTCAAGTCAGGGTTTCGTTGCTTCTACGGTTAAGGATACGTGTGCGGCTAGGCAGTACATCGCTGTGATTTTCGTGACGGTGTCCAAGCTGAAACCACCTGAAACCCCAAACCTCCGAAACCTCACTGCGCAATATCCTAGACCCCAAACCCCTGTCACATGGATCTCTAACCATTTCCAAGCTCGCACTCCTAAACCCCAAACCTGCTACATAAGGCTCAAAATATGTCGCACCCTATAGTCTCGAGTCAAAAGCCCCAAACCCTCAACTAACGGTAAACTCTGTTGGTTGCAAGGCAGCATCTTTCTAGATGGTAGGTTTAAGCTTAAGGCGTTTTCGTGGTTGAAGGCCTTTTGAATTGGGGGTTGGGGCTTAGGACTTTTTGGGGTCCATTCAGGGCGTAGGACTTTAGGAGTCGTTGCGTTTACGGTCCGAAAGGCGGTCAAGGTGGCAGGGAGAGGGACCGCGACGTCCTGCAAGGCATTCGTGACGACGCTGTCACCACACGCAGCAAAGCCCAGTGTGTATTCCCAAGTGTAATTGCAGTGTTCACCCACTCGTCCTAGACTAAGCCAGTGCTGCTTCCAGCTACATGTAGCTACGGTTTTCCTTGACAGCTCGTGTGATTTGTCGGCAGCCGTTGGCTTTTAGCTGTGCCGCAATCCAGCTGGTTGAGTATTTCAGCAGAGGCCCATCACCGTCGACAACCTGCCTGCAAACGGCTTCGTAACACCGAAATGGGCAAAGCGAGGCGAAGGCACCCTGCAAGCCGTGAGAAACTTGGATCCCAGACAGCTTGATGCGCAGCCCATGATGATGGGAACCGTGGCTGAGTTGTATGAGTGTGTGGCCGAGGCACCGGAGATCATGTTGTCACGGATGACAAGTCCTTATAGCTTTGGGCCGAATGTGGACGACCTTCGTGTGCGCATGGGTTTCTTTTGTGCGCACACAGGGCAGCTGGAAGCAGAAGGGGCTCTAACCTACAGAACCAAATCGAATCCTTCAGTCGCCCTGATCTTGAACAAACCCCACCTCTTCGGCATCCAAATCACCAGGGACCTAAGCCCGTTGCACGCTTCCAGCGTTCAAGGTCGAGCATTGGGCCTCCTACATGCGAGAGCATCCAAACAATTGTGAATTCGTGATGTTAAAGAACATTAAAAATCTTGAAAAAGATTATATATGTATTTTTTTAAGACAAGTTTGAAAAGGTTAGATTTTTAAAAAATAATTGAGCCCGAAGCCCTCAGCACTTCAGGTTACCCGAAACATTCAACCCCAAGCCCCTAATCCCTTGAACCTTAAGCCCCAAACCCCAACCCTCACGCCCTGACCTGTATAATCCTTAAGTATCGAAGTCCTAAATCGTCAAGCCATGTCAAGCCGCACTCCTGATTTCACCCTCGAGACTTATAACCCCAACCATTATATAACTATACTTAATTTACAGCCCGATCCAACCGTTAATCCGACACCTAAAACACTCAGCGCCCTGCGCCTTAGGAACCTCAACCAGCAAAAAATCGAGACCCTAAACCCTAAGCCCGGAACCTGCCATTCCTACAGACACCCAAACCTTATCACACCCTGTAGCATCCCGCAATCAAGCATGAAAGAACCCTCAGCGGAATGATTTGCAATTGAAGGACTCCGGGCTTGACTGGGACGAGCTTGAGAAAGAGGCGACAAGAATCGTTGTCGTTCTCGGATTGACTACGCGCAAGACATACCAAGGCTTTACTTTGAAGCCAAGCTGCACACACACACACACACACACATACTTACACACACGCGTAGTAATTTGTATGTATGTATGTATGTATGTATGCATACACATGTACATGGATACTATGAAGACTGACTGACTGATTGATGGATTGATTGTTTCATTGATTGATCGATTGGCTGATTGATTGATTGATTGATTGATTGATTGATTGGTTGGATTGGTTGATTTGTTGATTGGTTGGTTGTTTGATTGATGGTTGTATTAGTTTTTTCATTGGCTGATTGACTGATTGGTTAATTGCTTGGTTGGTTGATTGTTTGGCTGATCGATTGTTTGAGTGATTGATTGATCGGTTGGGCGACTTTAAGACCCGGCGACACGAACCTACCGCTATGTAACTGGGTTTCTATTCTTTGCTAGACGTGGAGATAGGTTGGGTTTGTTACAGTTTTGCGCATACAGTTGATACGTCTGTCAGGGTTTAACGGTGTCGGGTTGAGTGGCCGTTTGTATTTGGTCCACCGCTTGTGCTATGGACTTTTTGGAGGCCTGAACATTCAACCCAAAAACCTCAAGCCAATCCCCCGTGAGTTCGCTATGAGCAGGGCCGCCCTGCGAGGGTCTTTGAACATCACTCAAATCTATGGGTGTTGGAGCAGAATGAGATACGACATGATGCGACGATGCAGCGACTGTAGGGAGACGTTGTGATGGATGATTAAGACCTGCATTGATCTGAAGCCTGGAGCGTTGCCGTTCTGCTTTCAAACGATCATGCGGAGTTGTTTGTTGCGGGATGTTCGTTCCAAGGCGATGGTTACCAGGGCGAGCTAACATCAATGAGCAGTAATCTGCACCTTCGTCCATAAAGCCCGAAAACCACATCCCTAAACGAAAGCCCAAACTCGATCCGCTTTTCCGGCTGTCGGGCAACAGCCACAACCACAACCACGACGACAACGACAACACTAACACCAACAACAACAGCAGCAACAGCAACAGCACCACAACCAGCACCACCACCAACAACAGCAGCAACAGCACTAGCACCAGCACCAACAGCAACAGCAACAGCAACAACGACAACAACGACAACAGCACCAACACCAACAACAGCAATATCAGCAATAGCATAAACAAGATCAGACCAGCAACAACAAATCCAGCAATCAACAGCGACAGCACTGAGAATAAGAGTAGTAACAACAATAAGAAGATGATAAGACAGAACTTAATATGAAGAAAATCGAGAACAACAGCAACAGCAACATCATCTGGCCCAATCGCCAACATGAGCCCGAACTGCCGCATGCCCTCAAGCAGCTCAAAGCTCTAAGTCCGAAGCAATTTCAAAAAAATAAACTCTGATACCTTTATGCTGGTTGCCCCCTTTAGAAAGAAATTCAGATTTGGATCTCTTCGATTTCCGGCTGCGAGGCCTTGGAGGAGGAGCAGAGAGCGAAGAAGCGATCTCGCGCCCCCGCCGGCAGAGGCACGCAACGGCCCGGAGCGCCCCAAGAAACCCTAAACCCTAATGTAGGGGCCTTAACAATTGGAATAGGGTTCCTTGAAAGCGGTCTATAAGGGATTTATGGTATGGTTCTATGATATAGGCCTGAAGGGCTTAGGGTTTAGGGCTCAAAATGGGAGTTTCCGAACATTAGGGATACCTTATTTTGGGGTCCTTACAAGGATCCTACTATTCAGCATACCATACTAGAGTCCCCCATGTTTGGAAATTCCAATATTTAGGGGTCGAAGGCTTAGCGCCTTTAGGCTCAGAGCGTGGGACCTTGTAGTCGTTTGAAAAGGGGGGACCCTTAAGGGGTTCGTATGTAGAATCCTATAAGGTAATCCCAAAAAGGAACTACTATGGGGCCTCCGGGCGGGTATGGCTTCTAGTATTTCAAAGGGGGAAAGGAGGGACCCTTAATGGGCCTACAATGGGCTATATAATGGGTATATAATTGCTATATCAAGGGTGTATACCTAGGGGTCCTTATTAAGGGTCCCTCCTTTTACCCTGGTTGGCTCTTACGACTTTAACCATTTGGGTTTCTATAGGAACTAGACTAGAGCCAAAAGCTTAGCTTTTAGGAGGGGTGCAGAAGTCAGCCAAGTCTTGAAGTCATTGCTACGGGCTGCCCGGAAGTGTTTTCGGCTTCTGTCCCGCTGCCAGGGCTGCTAAGGTTTCAACGATGACAACTCCTGCTTCATTACTGCTAGTATCTTGACATTCGCATTTTTTCCTGGTGGTATGTATCGCTAGTTCTAGATCCTCCTGCTGTGGTCGCTGTCAGTTGTCATGGAGGTGCGGCCAAAGCTCCACCCCGCAAGACGAGGAGGACGGCTTCAGCAGTTCCGACATGGGGTGAGTTGGTTTGGGGGTTTTCCAGAGCTCTCATGAGGATGGTGGACCCGAGAATTGTGGGGCTCGAATGAAGTGCAGGATTTAGGGCTACGGCTGAAGCTTTGCATGATTTGCTTTAAGCGTTCGGGGTGTAGGCCGTAAATCCTACTGTAAGGATTGAGAGTTTGGGAGCTTGGCATCTGGCGTGGTGAGTGATGAAGCTGCTTACGATTTGGTTTTGGGGTTAAGGGCTCAGGACCGGTCAATCGCAGCAATGCCAGTAGCAGTAACTGTAATGTAGACCGGAATGATGGTTATGATGATGAGGGTAAGGATGAGGATGAGGATGATGATATACACCCAGGGGGGATGTTGCGAATCTTACGACAACATTGCAGGCGTTTAGGCAGAATCCCGAAGTGTGAGCGAGGGTCGACAGTTCATGTTGTAATGCTGCACTACCTGAAGGCCTCAGCGCTTAACTGTAATCTATATGGCCTTTTCTCAAAATCGGGGTCCCTATTTGGCTCCTTACTATAATACGGCACCTAATATTTCGCGCACCCAAAAAAAGGACCATAATTCTGACAACCACCCATGTATCAGCTTACTGGGCCAATGGAAGCCGCGAGGTTTTCGGGTCTGGTTTAGGGTTTAGGGTTGAAACAAGAGCGCCCACCACGCAAGAGGACGCACGTGAACTCAAGGGGGTTCACGAGAACCCTAGATCCATGATTCGCTTAGCAGCGGTTTGGGGTTTAGGGGTTGAGGGTTTAGGGGTCTAGGGTTTAGGGGTGAGCACTAGAAAGTGCAGTTCCCACTTTCAGCGCTTGGCACCTGGTAAGCTCGCACGAGGCTCTGGGCCACGCCCTGAGCACCAGCAACGGTGTAGGGTTGAGGGTTGAGCACCTCCACGGTGGAACTACACTAATTATAATATACCCCGCAAAAGGAGATCACGAACCCGAAACAAGAGTCGATGAATAGATCAGGCTTGTTCTAGCTTTGACTGCCAGTTTTCACAGAGGGGCGATGAACCTGAACCAAAAATCCACAGATGGAACAGCAGCATTCTCGAACAACCTTGAGACCCTAAAAACCCCTCGATTTGAGTCACAGATTGGATTCTTTAGATTATGGAGGGCTGTCCGATGTAAGATGCTGGTCTATCATACTTGTTCTTAAACTATAGAGGTACGTACATCTCCTAGAATTTCAGGGTATGCTGTATCAGGTTGTTTGTGAATCACTGGGATATGCAGGTGACACATCGATCCGATGTTCGGGCCTTCCCCAAGGAGCGATTTCGGGTTTGGCGTTGAGTGTTCGAAGAAGCTCCAAAACCCCTTAAGTCTTAAGTAGGAATATACCGTAATTAAATACGGAACCCGAATACGATTTAAGGTATATGCCTCAAATTAAGGGGTTTTGGAGGGCTAGGATTCCCTTGGCAGTCTTGAAGCCAGGACATTGCGTTCTGGGCTCAAGGGTTTTAGGATTGGGCTCTTCCGGGCATTGGGTTCGGGTTGTGGGATACCTGATGGACAAGGTCGTGGATGATGGAGGGTTTTGCGTCCATCACCGGTATATGCCCTATCTTCAAGTAAGCAATCCTGAAAAATAAAACATCTCTAGACCTTTCAATATCCTACAGGGCACAAACGCCTTGTGAGAAAGCCTGACGTTTCATCAAGCAAGCTGGTGTCATATCCTGAACATATCCTGCATTAGTGTGGCGACACTTGGGCCTAGTTGGAGTTCGGTTGTTTCCAAAGATGTCGAGGATCCAAGTGCTGAAAAAGGGCAGGGTTTCCGGATTGAGCATTCAGCATGTAGAGATTAGAATTTAGGATTGAACGGTACTTTTGCTCCATGGGCCCTAAACCCTGAACCCTAGGCCCTACACGTGGTGCCGTAAACCTCGGAGTCCTGCACGTGGCCCTCGAAGAGCAAGACTCGAACGAGCACTTGAGGCTGTAAAGCTTTTTCTGCACCTAAAATTGTACAAGACTTTTTCTCAATTCTGATTGCACTCTACAGAAGCCCCCCTTAGCCCCCCTTCAAGCCCCCCTTAAGCTCCCCTTCAAGCCTCCCTTAAGCCAGGCTTTGTTTTGCTAGATGACAGTTGGAAGGCCCGGAGGGGCATAGCAAGTGAGTTGTGAACGGAGATGTGCTTAGAATTGAGTATTTCAAAACCTACCTTGCCAACCCCAAGGCCTAAACTCCCAAACCATCTTCAGGGTTTAGGGGTTTAGGGGTTTAGGGTTTAGGCTTTAGGGTTTTGGGGTTTTGGGGTTTAGGGCGAAGCCCTAAACCCTAAATCAGTCTGCGTATCGGAGCGTTCGTTGTATTAGAAGGTAGAAGGCGGTTTTGGATGCAGGTCGCTCGAGCGAAACCTCCACGGTTCAAGGTTCACAGCTTCAGTCTGCAGGACTTCAGAGGTTACAGCTTCGGTTCCAGCTGTGGCAACAAGGGATCCTGCATTAGGGTGTGCAAGTTAGACGGAATCCCCCAACGTCGACAGTGAGCCCGGAACCCTCAACCAAAGCTCTTGAGTTCAGGAATCGCCGCGACAACGGCTGTAAATAGTGTGGTGCTACCACTCCGGAAACTGGAACCCGCCCTGCGAGGACATGTCTAGCATCTAGGGGTAGCACCAAGGCGCTGGTGATTTTTTTGTATGACCCCTGAAGGAAGACCGATTGGTACATTTCTGCTAGTGCGTCATATGTACACAAAGCATCGCATCTGAGAAGTGGCCGTCACATGTTAGCTACACTTTCGCTTATCCTTAACCGCCCAGGCCTTAAACGTCCAAGGTAACTTGGAAGGAACTCATCAGACCCTAAACCCTAAACCCAAAAGTCCAAGCCCTAATCAGGTTCCAATCTGTTGGTCACATGCCCTGTCTGTTGGCTCTCTGGGG